GCACTACTAACAAAAAGCGAACGAATATATGGATCCACCCAATATAACGTATTATAAAACGTACCAATAGATGGCCCACCCTTTATATAAAATTTAAATTGTTATTTCGGTCAAATCTAAAGCTCAGAACTTTTTTGTACACCTAATACTTTATTATTAAAATTAAAGTATTAATGATTAACATTATATTCTAGAACACAAACGACAATTATAATTGAAAAAAAATCTTTCCCCCTCAATTGGGAATTAATCAAGTAACGAGGTAACGTCGCGACGCCAAGTGCATAAAAATATCAAATGGGTCGCTTAACGGGTCGCTTGACCGTTTAACGTGTGAATATCATTGCGTATATATTCGTGCCGCTGCCAAATTCGAGATGCTACCACTAGTTTTATTTGGAGTTTTGACATCAACAAAACTTTAGATTAAACAAACTAAAACCGCAATCAAAAATCTAAAAACAATTTTATTATACAATATCATCTTTCGATTGCGACCAGTTCGAATAAAATTGGTGTAGCCAATACCGAGATCTGAAGATTGTGTCCCGAAAAAGGAACATTTCAGCTTTTCAAATTTTTCAGTCGTACGTGTGGTACATATAAAGTGTTTTGTCCATTAAGCTGCTTTTCATAATCCCTTCATAGAATTTTAATTTTAATTTAAAATTGAAATAAGATTAGCAATGAAAGTGAACCTTGATGCGCATACGGATATAATTTATGTACATGATAGACAAAGAAGGAGAGCGTAAGAAAGAGCGAGAGAGAGAGAGAGAGAGAGAGGAGACGACGAGTTTTTTCTTCACAATAATTCATTGACAATTTTATATTAATATATTGACAATTTTAGTCACTTTCAGTTTATCTTATGTGTCTCGCGTAATGAAATACTTGCTTAGTTACATGTATGTCATACCCGTTTTTAATTAAAAAGAATGTATTCAATATGTTTTTTTATACACTTGGCGTACATTTTTTCTTTTTTAAAAAATTTTGTTAGGGTTTCCTTATTTTCCTAAGCGGTCACCAATCCAATCTTATACTTAATCCAACGGTGCTTAACCTTTGCAATTATATGCGAACTGCTGCTTCGATGATCCATGAACACTAAATGTATAAAATTGTGACGTACAGATATGTGTAATAGAAAGACTACTAGTCGACGTCGCGCAATGAACTGATCAAACAAAAACAATATTACATGCATAAGCATTCTGTACGCGCGGCCGATATACTCGTATATCGTACATTCCCATATATATCGTTTACAAACAAGTTTCGTTAAAAGATCAATTAAAGTGACTTAAATTTTCTATTTACATGACATTTTATTATTGTTTATTTTTTTGAAAATAAAATACATTTTGATATATAATTTGTCCAATGTAGTTTCAACATTGCAGCAACATTTTAACAATCAATACAGAAGAATCAATATAGATACAACATTGATAAAACATTGATACTTCAATATTCAATATTGCAATATTTCAGCAACATTTTTTTCAATGTTCTGTGCTGTATGAGTTTATAATTCTAAATCCTTTAAAGTACAAACGGGAAAAAAGGTAATGCAAACAGTTACAAACCGAGCTTAATTTAATGCGTATTAAAAGATCTTTTTTTTAATGTCAAGTGTCAAGTTCTCAATGCGAAAGTAAATATAAGTGCTCACTTAATTTGAAAAGAATTATTTGTTCCACGATGATCGAGATCATGACACAAACAGGCAATGATGAGGGCAAGACATTCAATTTCACCAAAGATTTTCCACCATTGCGTAGCCTAAAAATGATTACAATTCTCATTTTACAAATTACAATCTACGCTACGATCGACAAAAAAAAGCTCACCGTTAAAATAGCAAACATCATTTGGGCTACGTTAAAAGCATGCCGCCAATTATGATATGTAACGTTCCGATAGTTTTTCTTTACGCTCAACAACCAACGACAAAGTACGTCATAATCGATGTGAAATCGTTCAACAAAGTCCAAATCGAGAAACATTCTGAGACACGCAGTAAGAGTGTCGCCATCTTCCATATGTATATCGTCAAATTTGAAATCGTGCAATTGAAAATGCACTGATGATGGAACTCTTAAACTCTATCGAAATAGAGAAAACATGATAAACGATTAAATTTAATTAATGATTTAAATATTATATGTAGCTGAAATATACAGTGTGAAGCTGAAGCACACCAACCTTTAATCTTTGCGCGTCCTCCAATGATGCTGATGCATGGTAACTCAGTACTTCTAAAGTGACGCTTTGTTTTGCCATCGCTATTACAGCCTTTTCATACCTGAAGATCCGATAAATCAAGTCGAATATTCGAAATAGACAAGATATACAAGTATACTCACATGTGCGTATTATGAATTCCCATTCCGCAGAAGATCGCAAACGCTTCAACAAAATTTTCATCGTTCTGTGTAAAAGGAAGATCGTCAAATTTATTGATTAGTTGAATAACGCCTATTATTTGACCGGATGAATTCTTGATGGCCATACAAAGAATTGTTCGATGCCTAAAACCGGTGCCATCGTCCACTAGTGGATCGAATCTTGGATCTTCGTAAGCATTCAATATATTGACAGTCTGAAAAATCTTTTATATCGTCTCGAGCGCTAATACTTTACAAGAAATTATTATTAATGAGCGATACTTACTTCACCGGTAGTTGCTACATAACCCGTAATACCAACATTAATAGGAAATCTACTCTCGAAAGGACTGCAACAAAAAGATTTAATTAAATACCTAGAATAAATTTATCGAAAAAAGCTAGACGTAATTATAAACTTGATTTACCTAGTGCGAGAATCAGAATCTTCGCCAGCGAGATCATTCGCTTCGAAATCAAAAACGCGCGAGAAACTTCCCTTTGAAGCTTTGTGCACGAGCAACACCTGAAAACAATCATGATATTGTAATGATGGACGGATACCATGATTATAAGCCCGGATTTTCATACAGACAACAGCGCTTTGATACCAAATGCTAATTGGTGAAAAACGGGTCATAAATTTTATCCCCCACAATCGGCTTTTCACCATTCACCTTTTTGTACACATAATTGCATTTTTCTCACGAAATTCGTTTATGTCAATTACCTGAACACGTTGGCATTGAATCAATGATTGCGTATGCGTGAGAATTCTAAAAACCATGTGCTCTATCGTACTTTGTTCCTCGAAAATCATTCTAGCCAAATCCAATAAAACCTGATGTTAATATTAAAACAAATTAGATCCCTCTTGTCGTTATTTCGATCGATTCGACGAAATTAACATTTACCTGATTTCTTTTCACTTCTAATTGGCTCTTTTCGTAAAGCTGAGCATTTCTTAAACCGATACCACAGAACTGTAAATAACCAGCGAAAACCTTTTCATCTTGCGCAGTAAATTGTCCTTCGCCGCCAAGCTTGTTGATCACCTGTGCCACTCCGATTACATCACCATTGCAATCTTTAATAGGCATGCACAGTAAGGCACGCGTGCGGTATCCCGTTAAAGCGTCAATTTCGCGATTAAATCTCGAATCCTGAAACATTTAACGCCTATTTCTATCAATGTAGATTAATTTTAATCTTGGTTTTCACACTCACGTTCGCACGCACGCATGCACGCACACAATTTACTTTTCATTCTTTTCTAATTAAAATTATTTTCTAACTTATATTATTTTCTATCTAAAGAAAGATGAAGAGTTAGTTAAAGAGTTAGTTAAATCGAGATAATTAAGAGATAAAATTACGAGGGCTATCTAGAAGGTAAATTCCATTTTTTAATTTTGCCGCTTTAGCGATGCGGTGCGCATGCGTGCTAAGTTTGTTAATTCGTTGGCAAGAGATTGACGCGATTTTCAATTATTCCCAGCAAACGAGAACGGATTGGATAAATCCACATGAATCAGGTTTTCGAATCTGCGTTATCCGCAAAAAAGGTATTGAATTTTGTAGAGACTGAATACACTGAATCCTAATCTGAACAGTCTTCAACTTAAGATTAATATTTCACTTCGCGGGATAAAGCGACGCTTTTTTTCTGCCAGATTTTTACGTTTCTTACAAAAACGCATGACAAAAATTGCATAGCTTATTTTTTCCGTAAAACCTTTTTTCGATTGAAAGAAATACAAATTCTGTAGATTCAATCCCATGTCATGAATTAAAATGGATTGTGTGGCATTTTTTCCGTAAAACTTTTTTTCGATTTATAGGAATAGGAATCTCATAGTTTTAATCCCACGTCATCGATTAAAATCGATTAAAACATTGCTTATATTTGAATTGGATTGAAATGATTTAAAAAAGTTAAAAATTTGGATTCAGCAATAATCAAACAAATCTATTTCAATCTAATTTTAATCCTTTTCTTGATAGGGGTCTTTAATCTTTTTTATTTTTATTCCCAGAAAACGAGAATGGATTGAAATGAATTGAAATGGATTCAGGAATATTGATTCACGAATGTTAAAATGAATGCTTTCCAATCCTGAATGCATTTTTATTTATTTATAGAAATTGCGTAGAGTATATCTCTGCCTTTTAATCTAAAAATAATATTAGCTTTTTCTGTGCATTGTGAATACTGTTCAATTCAAAATTTTGAAGAGGAAATGCAGTTTTTCAATCCAATTGCATCCAATTGAATCTAATTGAATTCAATGGATTGAATTGAATTCAATTAAATCCAAAAAAAAGTATTCGCTATTTAAAATACGCGCGCCTTCGGATAGAAAAAAATTTCAATCCATTTTAATCCATTCTCGTTTGCTGGGTCCTTGTTCTTAATCTTTGTTCTGTCTAAATTCCTTTGCCTAAATCAATGTTTAATCCAGTATCATCATTGCCAGCCCTCTTAACAACCGGAATGCAAATACCTCCAACATTTCATATGATTTAAGGAATCCGGCAGAACGGCGAGATATATTTAATGTAAACTTTATATAAGATACTAGCATTTTTTTCATCTTTATTTTACGAATATGTTGTAAGGATTTATGTTTTAAGGATTCTAAATCATGAAATTAAAGAATACATATGTAAATTTTATGTAATAAATGAGATCTATCTATAAGAATAAAATAAATTGTAAGAAATATCCAAGAGAAATGTGCTTGAAATAATATTTATGTAATTTTTGTTCAGAGTCATGTGATCAGTTAACGCTTCTCTCCTACTAAGCTCTCTAGAATGAACGGGTGAATACATTCTCTCTCTTTCTTTTTTTCTCCTCCCTCTTGCCTTGTCTTTCCTTAATAATAAATAAGATAAAGCGAATAAGAGAGAGAGAGAGAGAGAGAGAGAGAGGGGGGGGGGCGAAAGGAGTGAGAAAGGAAGAGAGGGAGGGAGGAAGAGAGGAGGAGAGAAAGGGAAGGAAGAAGGGGGAGGGGGAGGGGGGAAGAGAGAGTAAATCCGAAAAAAAATAATTTAAAAACCATAATTTTTTCGGTTTTAGCTTTCTTTACTAGTAAAAAAAGATGAAAATAAAACGAAACATTTATTTAATATTTTTAAATTCGGAATCGAACAAAAAACTTTCGGTCCGCGTCCTTGGTGTTTATAATGTTTACACAAATCGCGATGCTTGTCGCTTGTGAAATACAGTTTGAGATCCGTTTTTTAAATAGAGGAACGTTAATGCGATTAAAATTTTCCAACAAATTTGTTCAATATATGGAGAACATGCAATAAGTGATTCAATGGTGCGGAGATGGATGCAATTTTTTAATAAAGTGCATGAAAATATATATGACAATGAATGGAGTGAGCGACCGTCTTTGGTTAATGACGATTTGATGCTTGCAGTGACGTTTTTTCGTTACCACGACTAAAGCTATCTTCGTATTTTGATCTTTGAAAATGAAAATAGCCTTAATTGTAGCTTCTAGTTGGATAACGAAAAAATGCCCCAGTTACTGGCCCTCTTGCTGGTCTACGATGACGAGATCAAAGAAGCCGTCACCACGTGGTTTGCCTCACAGTAACCAGAAATACAACGTCTGGTGTTTCGCTATAAGTGTATCAACAACGGCAGCGATTATGTAGAAAAATAATGTAAGATATGTACTTAAAAAAAAAAATAAAAATTTTCTATAAGTATATACTTGTTTTCTTTTAATAGGCCATCAGAACTTACTTTCTGAATAACTCTCGTAAATTGCATTCGAAATGAGTATTAATTATTTTTAGCTCGTGCACTTCAAATTACTCTCAAAATTAGTGGTAATCGAAATAGAAATAAGATCTCTACTCGTGCAACAGATAAAACAAACTTGTGCACATCTGTACATCAAAAGTGACATTTCAGATATAAACAAATCATGATTCATCAAGAACTTCTAATGATTAGTAATCGATGGAAAAGGTGCGAAATGCATCACTTATTAAATACAAAAAGTAGAAATCAAAACAAATAAGTATAGGTCATTTAAAAAAAAATAGTTTCCATGACTTGCCTTGTAAGCATCTGGTATGTTGACGGGTTCCCCACTTTCAGCGACGTATCCAACGATTCCGGTACCCCAGGGAATTTTTATTTCATCTTTCTTTTCCATCTCTATCAATGTCGATCTTGAACAGACATCGAATAATTTTGACACCAGATATCTGCTCCTCAAATAGGATTGATCGTTACGCTGTAGGTTATTTTCGTTGTTGAAATTGCTCGCGGCGGCCTCATGATTTAGAAAAGGTGGCACATTAGTGGTGATAACGGCAGCAGCAGCAGCAGCGGCAATGGCGGTGCCGCTTCTCTCTCCTTGGACAAGGAATAGCGAGCCGCGATCGGCGTGAAGGAGTGTGCTCACATTCTGCAGGATCTTGTGACACAATGATCTCACATCCAATTCATTGCAGATGTCTTTGACCTAAGAGACCTTACAGAAGTTAGATTCTTCAACATAGAGACTAGCGGTATATTCCATCGAAGAACCTACCAGCTCGAAAATAAGATCTTTCTCGTCAAGGTGCCTAAGCTCGTGACGCGATCGTCTTTGCGGGCGGTTGGAATTACCGGATCCGACCTGTGGCCCACCCGGTTGACTCGCGTCACTCATCGATACGCTCAAGAAGGTTGGCGTCCCATCAATTGTGTTGACAATCGGCTTTAGAAGGCCTCCACGCTCGAACTCGTGTGCCGAGATTTTGCGTACCGGTGTCGTAGCTCCCGAGCCACCGGTACCACCTCGTCCGGAGGACGAGTTGCCGGCCGCGGCATGGATTGGATTCGAAAGCTCTACGCAACTACTCGATGATGAGGTTGGCGTTGCATGTGATACCAGCCACATGTCGACGGTCTGCCGTGTCACTTTCCTATTAACAGAAAAATTGAAAACAGTAATAACGTTTGTGTATTATGTATACGTATTATATGTACAAGGTGTTTCCTCTAACCCAATCATCTAAAATATCTCTGTTGTTTTTAATACGAGAAAATATCGAAGCAGAAAGTTGTCCGATTCGGAGGGGCATATAAATTTATTATGATGAGCAAAAAATTGTTCTCAATGTCATATTTTTTAAGACCTCAAAATCACCTCTACTTTTTTAAATGGAATTGATTTTTTTTACACAGATACTTCTAATCATTCTGAATATAAAAGTATTAAGTTAGTGATATAAAAAAATTAATAGTCCACAAAATATTTTATACTTTATTCTGGCATATTATATAAATGTTAAATAACTCATAAGCTTTAATTTAATTTTTCGACTCCCAAACGAGGTAATAAATAAATTTCACAAATTTACAGTTTTTCAGTATATTAACATCTTTCTAATAGGATGCCAGATTGAGCATCAAATTATTAAATTGCTTATCAATTTAATTTGTGATATTGCTATTGTTATGTCCAATTTAACACATCCCAAGAAAGAACCACCTTCCAAAGCATTCATATATAAACCGTGACACCGCGAGACAAGCTCTCTTATTTTGTCTCTTATTTTGCCTCTTATTTTCTCAGTCATATTCGTCAGTTTGTCGCGCATTATTTTGTCAGCAATTCAATTAGTCAATCATACACGCACGGTCTCGTCTTATATAAATATGTACAGTTCTTAAATCGAAAATCTCTGAAGCTCCTGTTACGCTTCAATATATAATATTTGACTTAGAATCTGTGCACAAGTGAGATCCAGGGGACTCTTTGAGTCCCACTGAGATCAGATTGACGATCATCTCTAGGCCATCAAAACAATAAGTCCTCTTTTTTCTTTATATGCTCCGCGAAACTTAATTTAACACTATTACAACATAAATTAAAATCAATTCTATTCACCCGTATAACTTACAACAGATTAATAAATAGTAAACCCAAGTCAACAAATTTAACAAGCTATAATTAGGTGTAACGAGTAAAAATTTTTATTTTCTACAATTATATAATTTTCGACGATAAGTTTCAACGGTACGTTTCGACTTAATCCTCATCCACAGAAATACATAATTACCCCATATATTAAAATTAAATTAACACATTATGAGGATCATCTCACCTTCGAGTTACAATAGACGATGTAACGCAATCATATTATATTTAGTCAAATTTGTTGAATAATAGACAAAGTAATAATGAGTCATGAATCCAAACCAATTCATCAGTGAGAAAGGGCAGTCAGTATAAGTAAAAGAAGAAAATTCCAGTAATATTATTGTTGTATCTTGATGTCAAATTATATAAAATGGTTGTACATACGTTCTTAATAATATTGGTAAATTAAACCAAAGCACAACAAGAATATAAATAAAATTGCTTTCAGTTATACAATATATAAAACAAATTAATAAATTAATAAAATTGTACATAATTATTATAAAATAAAGAGCAAAAGATTATGCAATACTTACAATTTTCATAAAGGTAAATACAAATAATATATATTGATAAGTTTGCAGCTGTCTATTACAATTGCGAAGTAAAAAACTTTTTATAAAAAAGTTTCTCGTTTTACTTCCGATACGTGGATGACATAATTATGGAGATCCCCTCCGATCAGATTTCGTCTATCCATAAGACCTTTAATAGCATACACAATCGATTACAATTTACTATTGAATGTGAAGAGAACCGTAACATAAGTTTTTTAAATATGTTGCTTATAGTAGAGGATGGCGGATTAGTTAAAAAAAAAGACGTATTCGTGATAGATATCTTTCTTATTTATCTAATCATCCACTGTGTCAGTCTATAGTATAGGTTACAAATGCATCAATAAATTAAACAAATTTATAAAAGCACATACAAATAAAAATATATATTCTGACAATAATAATGTAATTTATAAGATTCAATGTAACAATTGCGATATTTCTTATGTGGGGCAGACAAAGAAGAAACTCAATACTAGAATAAATGAGCATATTAACAATATAAAGCTTAAATTATCTGGACATTCGAAATGGAATATATAGGGTGATTCAGAACAACCCAAGTATCCTTGAAGAGGCGTATGACCGAATTCTGAGACGATTTTTTTTTAAGAAAATTTTGTTCGAAGCTTAGTTTTCAAATTACAAGAAGAAATAGTTAGCGTATTACGAGTCACGTATAGGATACGGGCAGAAGTGGCGCTCAGACACGGCGGTTAGACACAGACGTTTTACGCACGGGGCGCACATTGACCAGACGCATTCATACGCGTTTATAAAAACACGTTCCTTCTTACCTTTCCCTTCTACTACACTATCTCTTTGTCTTTCATATACTTTAAATATGCTAATTTCATTAAATTATAAAATAGAATAATGATAAAATTAAAATAAATATTGAAACCTTTGAGTATCGGATTGCATTTTAATTACATTGATAAAATTATTAGAAAAATAAAAGAGCTCATAAAAGAGCGAAATTAGATATTACATGCGATAAGCATTATAAAACTATTATTGACATGCAAATCATACAATTATTTCAGTACGATGAATTTAAAGAGCGTTTCTTACAATTCGACGTACTGAAACTTAATTTAGTTAGACTTAATTGTATGTCAATAGGCATTATAATACATACTTGTGGCACGCATTATTGTCTAATTTCTCAATTTTACAAAAATTACTCTAACAATCTTATCTGCGCTATCGCGATCGTAATATTTATTACATACTTATGGGAAACGCGATCGTGCTTTGCAAGCAAAGAGTTATGAATGTTTAAAGCAAAAACGTAAGCCAAATACACTTTAAAAACTTATTATTATCTTGTAGATATTCAATGATTTCATTTTGCTCTAGCTTCTTGAAATAGTTGGAGGAATAAATTTGGATGTTGTAAGATAGCTCCTTCAGTCATAGAATATAAGTTTAGTTTTCGCGCCTCATCACTGGTGGCGTTCCGATCAACCCGCCATTGCCGCACACAATTGCCCGTGCCTTGCGATTGACCTGTCGACAATATTCTCTCGGGATTGGTTGAATGTGATAGTGGGGTAGAAGAGAAGAGATCCTTAGCGATTCCTTTGTAAATGATATAATCCGTTACCAGACTTCCAATAAAGAGGATCTCAACAGTTAATATCGTATATACATGACGTTAGAGTTATACGCTCTTTCCTTCCAAGGAGTTTTTTAGATTATCCCTTTTTCGGATTAATCCTGACTACATTCCCTTCCCTTTTGCAACGTTACGATTTCGGAAGTTATACATGGAATCATGTTGCTGCCTTACAGCATCTATTTTTTCAGAAGTGGGATAATAAGTATCCACCTCTGCTTTGTCGTGCCGTGATTAAGTGTCGTACAAAAAGACGTTCTTCCTTTCGTGACCGGGAATATCGATGAAGGGCCATCGCTATTATAGTGATTCGAACACGAATCGGTTTCGGGAAGTCCGGCCGCCGGACATTGTTTTTACAAGTGCATGTAGCTTGATACTCGTTTCTACAAAGTTGCGTCATACAACACATCACATGTAACAATGGATCGTGCATCGTTAGAAGTTCTCTCGTTTAACGATCTCAAGAAGAAATTAATGGATCTTGGCCTACCCGTTATGGCTGACCGAGAAAAGTGTATTGATGCTCTTGCGGATCATTGTGAGAGATTGCATGCTGCATAAATACTCACAGCTATTCCAGAACCCTCTCAAAGGAAGACGGAAATACCAGCCGTTAGCCAGCAATCCATACATATCTCCGACGGATTAAGGGATACAGCGGCACAGGGCGCGTCACCATCAATTGCGCGAAGCTTGTTCGAATAGGCGTTACTCGACCTCACACAACAGATTGCGCAACAACAAATTGCGCAACAACAGATTGCACAACAATAGATTGCGCAACAACAGTTACTTGCGCAACAACGGTTACTTGAGCAGTTAGTAAAAGACAGACAGACGACTAATGTTGCGTCAGATACTTCATTGAATTTGGAATCCGGTAGTAATCGTAACCCGGAAGTTAAGAGCAGTGTTCAGTATACGTCAATTCCTGTAGACACAAGACGAATTTCATACATGTCAAGCAAGATTTCCGATAAAAGAGATCACGAACGTTCCTGCTATCCATCAACCTTACCCAGTGTCGGCTACTGTTCCACCAGCACAGGCTATTACTCTTTTGGTCTCTCAATTACCAATGTTTTATGGTTCAGAGGATGACGACGTGGATCGTTGATTGCTTAAAGTTGAAAACGTTGCTGTTTCTCATGAGGTTAACGACAATATAAAACTACTAGCCGCGATCAGCAAGCTAGCAGGAACTAGCAAGAGATTGGTTCGATAATGGATCCTTTACAAAGTCATGGTTCGTCTTCAAGGAAGCTCTTATCAGAAGATTTAGGCAATAAGTATCTTTCACAAGGGTGATGCAGAAAACGGACGCCTGTCGTTGGAATTTATCTAAGAAAAATTTTATGGAATATGCTGTAAAGAAGATTAAGCTACTTCAACCTGTACAGCTTGAACAAAAAAATATTATCAGTTTGTTGGTTGGAGGAATTAATAATTTCTCTGTTAGAAATACTGCTGCGTCAATCAACGTTGAAACAATCGACGAGTTCTTGAAAAGAATGCATCAATTGACTACGAGTATGGCGACGTAGAAGAAATCTTCTCCACCTTCGGTAAGAAAGGAAAAAACAAAAGAGAGATACGCCTGATTCACCAACGAAGAAAGCGGCTCAATCGAAAATCAAAGATGTCTTGTGCGCTTATTGCAAAGCGAAAGGTTAAGACAGACTGCTGGAAGCTGAAACGGAAGGAGAATACCTCCCCAAACACATCGATCAGTAATACCGTGGCAGTAACAAAGGAGATCACCGAAACGGAAAACACGTCAACTCAACAGAGAAGCCAACAAACGTAGCATGCATCGGG